TATTTAAAAGCATTTTCTGTATCGGACAAACCCAAAATGAGGAATGTGCTGTTAAAAATGTGAATGTCATACAAGATGAAGAAAGGTTGTGGAAATGTTCCAGATTAAAGGAGGCTAAAGAGAGATAATAACTTAATGCATTATTTCATCCTAGACCAGATCCTGCAATAGAGTGGGAAAATGCTATAAAGGACATTACCGGGTCAACAGACAAAATTGGGATACAAATGGTAAAGTATTGTATCAATGTAAAATTTTCTAAAGCTCTACTGTAGTGATGTGGGGATATGCCTATTCTTAGGAAATGCACACTGACATATTTAGGCATGAAAGGCCATAATATATGTCATTAATTTATCTTCATATGGTTCAAAAATATACACACCCCCATTTATAAAAGATTGCACATGTGCAAATGATAATAAAAATAATGTAAAATTCTCAACAGGTAAATCTGGTAAAGGCCATACAGATGCTCTTTATACTATTTTTTTTTGTAACTTTTCTATAAGTTTGAAATGATTTCCAAATAAAAATGTTTAAAATGTTAAAGGTCAGTTTCTGTGCAAGCAGTCAGGATCCGGTGGCACAGGCCTGCCTGAACTCTTCCCCTGGCAGAGATGAAGAATGAGGACATGGCTGTGTCCTACCAGGTAGGGCTACCACACCCATCCCAAAAGGTAGTCAGACACCCTGCATGAAGTTGCCAAGTGCCATTTGAAGCCACCCATCTCTTGATCTCCCACATCCTATAAGACACCAAAAATAATAACTTTTTACATTTTCTCCTGAAAATTATGAGCCCTGGGTGTTAATGAAATCTGGGTTATGAAAGGAAGGTGTATTGGTTCATTAACTCATCCATCCATCCATTCATTCATTCATTCAGTAAATGTTTTGAATACCTACTTACCATGTGATAGGAGCTAAGGGACTGAGAATGCAGCCCAAGGTAGACGAGGAGACACGACTCCTGTCCTAAAAAAGCCTGTGAGATAGTTGTGATGCACCCATAGCCACATAAACATATATTTCCAAGTCAGTTGACCATGAAGTAGACTTGGGAAGCCATGGGGAGCCTAGACTTTTACCAGAGCCAGTGGATCCAAGCCCTATGGATCTGATACACATTCAATCCCCCCCCACCAGGATTTTCTATGTAATAATTGCTTTTGTACCTGATGCTGATGAGAGAAGGACTCATAGTGCTTACCCCATCCTGGGTTCATCCTATCTGTTTCGGCTTAGCTCTCTGCCGGCTGCTCTGCCCTGTCAGGATCAGGGAAGGGGCCAACAACCCACTCTATCAATATCCCTGGGCTGATGGGCCAGTGAACTTTGGAAAACAGTCTACTGATCTGTGCCTGTGAGTAAACATAGCAACTGAACCCATAATGTTTTTAGAAGACGAAGACCACCAAATTCCCTCATGTACAAGCCTGGCAGCCTACTGGCCATGAGAGTCCCATCACTGGGATCTGAATCATGAAAGCAGTATGACTGTCCTCCAAAAGGACAGAATAATGACTTTATGGGACAGTTGTGGGTCTTCCCACCCCCAATCCCAGGTGGCACCCACTGTGATGCCCTGTACTCAAGGGACAAAAGTGGAGTTCATTGGCTTGGTGCTCTAAATAGACAGCATTGGGGAGGGAGTTGTGAAGAGTGTGTGACTGCATGTGACATGATGTGTGTCCCTTCTGTTCAGGGGTCTCAGGTGGGAGTGACCCCCACCTCTGATGCATTCTGGGCCTGGTCCAAAAAAGTTTCAGGTTTGGATCCAACAAACGTTTACTGAATCCCTACAAAGTTACAAGCCTTTTACTTTATACTTTGACACATTTTTATATCATTTAATATTTAACAATTACTCTTTAAGGTAGGAATTATCTGCATTTTACAGATGATAAAACAATCGCAAAGAGGTTCATTGATTTGCTCAAGTATATCATACAGCTTTTTTTTTTTTTAAACACACACAGTATACTCTTAGCTGAGGCCTGTCTGCGTTGGTTGCTTATCTTACAGCATTTCTTGTCTTCTCTACTTTTGGAGCAACTGCTCCCCTTATACAAGCCCCCTTATTTCCTCTCCTTTTCACAAGCCCAGGTGGGCTTTTCTTGTTTTAATACTGCATTTAATAGCACAAAAAATCACGAATACAAAGAAACTGGCAAAGGTGTTTGTCAATGATATCCCTGCCTCCTCCACTTTTCTGCTTTCATACCCATATATGTAATGGGCTACATTTTTTAGAAACTTTTCTTTTCCCCCCCAAACATATAACTGTTATGTGATTGGTCAATTGAAGCTGAAACACCCATGGAGAAAGATGTTTTACGGTTACAAGGGCACACCCCCCCCACGCCACCCCCCTCCCCCCCACACTTTCCCACACAACCTTTTGGAGGAATATAGGATATGTACCAGTGTCAGCATTTTCCTGCTCCTGCCTTCCTCACCCAGAGCATTTCTACCATTTAATTTCCCTTTCATCAACTGCTTAGACTAGAGCCTCTTCTCCCTCCCCTTCCATTTCTCTTCAAATCAGGACCTTTTGGACACTGGGTACTGTTCAATTCTTACTCTGTCAGGCCCATGGGCCATGGTCAAGTAGGTCCTTTAGATCTCGATGCCAGTTGTAGTGTTGGTGTCGTCATCTTTCATTGCAGGTAGGTCTGTGTGTCACTTCAGTAGGCTTGCGTGTTCATTTCTTTCACTTTTTCTGACTCATGTTCCAGCACCTGTTTGTGATAGAACAGTAAATACCCTTCACTGTCCAGTACGTCCTTAATACTGGCCTTAGTGATGACGGCATCATCACACTTGAACCACTGGTCCTTGTGGTGCCGGATGAAGCTGGTATAGTGGCCACTCTCCAAGGTTCCTTGGTGATTAACCACAGCAAACAAGGAATACTTATTTTCGTTGTTTCCACTATTGGTTGGCAGCTGCAATTGTCCATTCATTCTGCTCTCTTTACTTGAGGCCATAAATGGTGTCATATCCAGCTCCAGAGGAAAGGAAATGTATGTAGTGATCTTGCGCCTCTGTTTGGCTGAATGTTCAAACCGTTTGAAATGAAAACAGGCAACGACAGGTAATTTATTCATCGTGAGCTGTTTGGTAGATTCCTGGTAGCTTTGGCAACTACCACATTTGATTTTGGCACTGCTTCCTAAGTGCTCTGGCCTTGTAAACCTCCGCAAGCAGTCCGTGAGGGTGGTGATTCCTGGTATGTGGCTTTCCCCGTTCACACTGCTCTCCCTCCCGGGGCTCATGGGCCAGAAGGAGGTGCAAGAGCCAGGCAAGTCCAAACTAATGTCCCAGCATGGGTCTATCGTGGTGGAGACGCCATGGCAGGCTTGACAGGTGACATCAGACTGCAGGCCACCTGTGAAGATTTGGTCTATAATGCAGTTACAGTGGTTGGGATTGCTGGCCGCCTTTCCGACATCATCGCCTTTGCAGTGCCTGTGCAGGACATCTAATGCCGCAATGAGGAACTCATGGGCATCCTGTTGCCTGTACCCTGCTAAATGGCGGGCATGTATCCATACCAGGTGCAGTAACTTATAGGGCACATGAGGAGACGGGTTTCCAGAATACAACTCGCGAAACAGCGATGACATCTCACAGACCAGACACAACTCGGGACTCGGCATCTCACATCGGTGCCTGTCAGAGAGGAAGAAATCTCTCAGTATCGGCGTGTGGGTGAGGGCCTGGACAATGCAGTTCATAAAGCATGTGTTGCCAAGATTGATGAGTCCTCTCAAACCGATCGTAAAGCTGGAGGTGATTCTTCTTCTCCTCGGGTTGTGCCCTAGCAGTTCTAATTCTGGTTTGGTTGTTTCCCAGGTTGGGAATTTCTCACCGAGGCCTGGCACTGAACATTGCTGGTGAGAAACCTCTGTTGAGGTGGAGGCTTGTAATTTCAAAGCTTCTCCTTGCTCTTCTTTGGCAATTTGCTCAATGTCTTTGTCATATACATAGTCCTTACACATAAAGCAGTATATACCTCCGTAATACAGGTCTACGGCTAAGTTGTGTTGTTTTGTCTCGGCGTGCTCGTGAATGTGTTTCTCCGTGAAGCAGCCAAAGAAGACACAGGAAAGGCAAGAGTGGAGTCTGTTCAAATGGGTGCCACACACATGGCAGATACACGACTTTGCCTTGCTTTTCCTGGTCTCTGGGGTTCCACACCACACGAAGCACTGGTAGATAACCCGCAGTTCCTGCCTCCAGTTCTCTCCCACCTTAAAGCTGTTCACGTGGGAACAGCCTGGTGGCCCCACGGCAAAATCCACATCCAGGCATCCGCCCCCAGGGCCGCGCCGGGGCCGGGGCCGGGGCGGGGGCCGGGGCCTAGGCTGCGGCGGGGTACGGAGCCGGGTCTGGGGCCGGGGCCGGGGTCGGCGGCGCGGGGCACGACTGCGACGCGGAGAGGGATCGGGGGGCCGCGGTGGGTCGGAGGGAAGGGTGGGGGGAGGAACCTCGTCGCTGCTGCCACCACCGCCGCTCCGCGCTGGGTTCTCATCCTCCAGCTCCTGCTTCGGCTCCTGCTCCGCCTCCCGGATCGGCTCGGGTTCGGGCTCCAGCTTGAGCTCTGCCCGGCGGCCCGGACCCTCCGCCGTCTCCACCTTCCCCGCCGTCTCCACCTTCCCCGCCGTCTCCACCTTCTCCGCGGCGTCCACCTTCCCCGCCGCCTCCGCCTTCCCCTCCACCTTCGCCTCCGCCTCCACCTTCCTCTCCGCCTTCTCCGCCGACTCCGCCGTCTCCGCCTCCTCTACCTCCTCCGCCTCCTCTGGCGGCGGCTCCTCCCCCTGCTCGCAGGGCTCGGGCGGCCACTGGGCGTGGCGGCGCGGGGGCCACGCAGACCTGGGGTGTCCCCCGCCCGGCCTGAGGGAGCGCGGTGGCTGTGGCAGCTGGACCCAAAAGGGACTTTCACTGAAGGAGGCGGCGGCGGAAGCAGGCGACGCCCCCGGGAATCCTCCCGCCGAAGCCCCCTAGTGGAGGCCGCTTCTGCAGCCAGGCCCCGTTTCCTTTAATTCAATATTTCCCAAACTTGCTTGTTCACGAGAATCACGTGGGGAGCGTGTTAAAATTACAGATTCCTCGGCTCCACCCGCAGGCCTACTGAATCAGAATGTCGAAGGAAGGTACTCCGGAACCTGTATCTCTAACTAGGGCCCCAGAGGCTGCTTATGATCAGGCAAGTTTGGGAAACACAGCTCTAATTCATTGAGACTGGCGGGAAGGGGGGCGGGGACCGCGCAGTCTCTTTAAGGAGCTTCCAGCTCTCGGCTCCAATCGCTGCTCTGACCCCCTTCATCGTCTCCTCCCCTCTCCTCGTCTTTCCCCGGTCTATGCAAGCTTCCCCCAGCCACCGCGGGGCCAGGCGCCGAGCAAATGCCAAGTCCAGAAATGTTTCTGAGGCCGTGAAATGTCCCCTCTGAGGGGGGTCCTGAGGAGCGCAGGCAGAAGCCGTGACAGCCCATCATTTCGGCAGCCGAGCCTGCCTCCAGCCCGGTCCCAGTCTCCCCTCCCACCCCAGTCCCAGTCTCCCCTCCCACCCCAGGTCTTGCCCTTCCCGAAAAGGATGAAGCTCCAGCTGCAGTTCTGGGGAGGCCTGGACCCCAGCTCCGGAGGGTCCGGGCTCCCAATACCGCTGGTCGCGGAGAGGCACTTCCCTGGCCCATCTTATCAGCGCTCTGCAGAGTCTGGGCCTGATCCTTGCTTCCTCCTGGGCTCCCAAGGCCATGGGTGGGTTGATGGCTTGACAGCCGGCCTCCTGGCCCAGTGGATGCTAAGCAGCCCGGGGGCACAATCCAGCTTTTCTCTCCAAGTCCAGCTGGAGGGACAACACACGACAAGGCCATCCCTACAGCTGGCACCTCCCCTACAGCTGAGAGGGGGCCTAAACTACAGGACACAATCCCAAGACCCTTAGGTCCTGGCAGCATCACTGGGTGGGCAGCAGGTGGAAGTGGAAGGAAGCTTGTGGAGCTGCCAGCAGGGATAGGGGGTCGGGCATGGGGCTGAGTGACCTCTGGGAACTCCTGTGCCAAGGGGCTGCTTGCACTGGGCATCAGCACCCCAAAGCCCACGAGGAGTGTGCCTAGAGCAAGTGACTCAGATCTTGGGCATGGCTTGGGGGTGTCAGGCTGTAGCTGCTAGTCCCAGAGAGTGCAGCCCATGGCAGGCATCAGGACATAGATAGGAAGAGAGAGAGTATTCTAGGAAGAATCCAGTCCCCGAGTCCTGGTGGTGGCTGGCCATGGCCTAGTGCACGCTGTCTGGCTTGTGCAGCCGTGCTGCCTGACTACACCTTATAGCAACATTCTCCTTGCTCGACACTGGACACCAAACCTCCACCTAGCCCCTTCTTCCAGGAAGGGGACCGGGAGGCCTCCTAGGATTAGCAGCAGAAGTTGGTCCTCAGGAATCAGGAGCCCTTGAAAGGATGATGCCTGGTTCCCATACAGCAGAGGGTCGCCCTGGGCCCTGCCCTTCCTGAGTCAGCTCTTGTTTCAATTCCTTGAAGCACCCTAGAATCCTTTCAATAAATGCCTGCCCTTTGTGGCCTGCAACCAGAGGAACTGCAACTAGCACACTCACTGAAGAAATCCTCCTCCTCCTGCTGCTGCTGCTGCTGCTGCTGCTAAAAACAACCAAGGTCATGGAAGAGGGGGTGGAGGATACTCTCATCCCACCTCCAGATTGACAACAAAAAGTTCTAAAAACCTCTGTGTACCTGGGACTGTCTACCATTGAAGATTAGCCATGGTAACTTGTTGACTTAGTGATGAACTTCCTGCAGAAGCCCATAGGTCCACCTGGACTCTGCCCAGGCCAGCGTGTTCTGAAAATGGAGGGCTCTGTCACCATTCACTCAACAAATGTTTATTCTGCACTGACCAAGGGCCAGATGTACTAAGAGCTGTGGACACAGCACTCCAACTTACCCCAGGCTACTGAAATCAGGGATGGCTTCTGCAGAAGACACACTAAGGAAAGTCCATGTCACTAGCAGAGAAGAGGCACCAAAACAAAAAATCAAAAACAAAAAAATACTAGAAACAGTTTGACATTTGATTTTTTTTAAAGTAGTCCTCATGGGAAAAATCAGAACTTTGTTGTACTTCCTTACATTCGTTTCCTGATTACATGATGCCTTTGTTTTGAATTACGTGTGGAGGTGTCACCAAAATCTTTAGATTCTTTGTGCTTATGTGGATCTGGACCCAACCCCGGGTAAATGTTACCATTTCTGCCTCACAAAAAGATCTGACAGAATGCAGACCGTAGAGGCTATCCTTAGGAGAGACAGCTCCTCTTCGAACCTCGGTGATAAATCCAACTCTGACCACAAGGTGGCAAAACAGTAAATGACAATTCCTCATATATTTTTTGTATGTTTATATAAAACTATTGGTTTATATAAAATACTCGCTGAAAATATTTAGAAAAACGTGTGCTCCTTCACACATTTTTGGGTTGTCTGACATTTTGCATCATAAATGTCAATTGGCTATAAATAATGTAATTTGTGACAAATGTTAATATTCAAAAATAAAACTGTTATGTCACTATGTTCACATGAATCTGGTGAAACCTAAATACCTTAGTGATTTGAGAGCCACCATCATGTGTTTTAAAAATTTATAACTGAGCTCTTTTTTGATAGTTGGAAGTTGTACATTTTTCCTTTTCTCAGTTCTTAATTCAATTCTATTTTTCCAACAGAATTTTGTCTCAATAATTGTCTATTTTTGCACTTGAAATGTTTTTGATATATCCTATTTCTCTGCAGCAAAAATGTGTATATATTTTTATATTTAAATGCTCTTTAAATGTTCTTCTGATTATAAGGCTCTAAGTGTTGTTTAAAATTTTGCTCTTGTTTGAGTTATCATGACAACTAGTATTAGAATAAAATGGATCAAAACATTGTGAATATATTACCAATTTTGTTAGGCAATTATTAAACGTAAAACAAAAGTTCATCGGAGATAGATAGGGCTTTTTAAAAAAAAAAATTAATGGGTGTATCCATGGATAAACATTGCTTTTTGCTAGGATAAAATAGGCTTCAGCATTAACTCTCTTCCTATTTTTTGTTTGGTTAAATGTTAGCACACAGAAACCTCATTTATATGAATAAGTGAATAGGAATGGACATTTTGTTTTAGTAATGCATGCTAGTCTTTGAATTCCTTTGGAGATATATATGGGGGAAATTACGCAATGATTTATCTTCAAAATTATTTCTCATTATTTATCAGCTGATAACTTCATTGGGTTTTTCTTTAATTCTATTGGAAGCAAACAATTGGAGACTGAGTTGCAAAAGGATTTGATTCCCATTCATTTGTTAGAGCAAGTTGTTTGTTTACTATCATCAGCATCGTTTGGAATTGCCTCTCTAGTGCCCCAAGAATTTTACATGGCAGGGCAGTGCTCCCAGGTAAGATTCAGGATAGGTAAAAGATATGCTTTTTCTTTTGTAAAGTGCAAAAGGGACCATTGTGAAAGGGGATTTAGACAAAGAGTACCACCTTGATTCCTACACTGCAAGTGTTTTCTCTGGCAGATCGATTTTAAAAGACAGCACAGGAAATTTGAGGATGTAGAAATTGATCCCCTTAAAACTCCTATACTCCAGAGTGATGCACATTCCACTCTAAAAGTTGTTGGTTCATATTTATTATTATAAAAGTAATATATACAATATTTGTGTTTTTTTAATAAAAAGGTATAGAAGGCATAACATATAAAGTTAAAGCTCTTCCCCCTCCCCCGCCAATCACACCCATTTTTATTCCCCTGAGATAACTACTTGTTAGCAGTTTCACATTTATCCTTTAAGAAATTGTCTATGCAAATGCAAGCAAGTTTTATACATGCAGTTGTCCCTCAGTATCCGTGGGAGATTGGTGCCAGGACCCCCCGTGGATACCAAAATCCGTAGATATTCAGGTCCCTGATGTAAATTGTTGAGTAGTATTTGCATATAACCTACATACAGCCCCTCATATACTTTGAATCATCTCTAGGGCACTATGAATCATCTCTAGGTTACTTTTTGTATAATACCTGATAAAATGTAGATGTTATATAAATAGTTGTCATACTCTATTGTTTAGGGCAGCAATCCCCAACATTTTTGGCATCACCAGGGACCAGCTTTGTGGGAAGACAAAATATTTTACAGGGGATGGGGAGGGGAGAGAGGGGCTCTGGGGACGGGGGTGATGGTTTCCGGATGAAACGGTTCCACCTCAGATCTCCAGGCATTAGATTCTCATAAGGCGTGCGCAACTTAGATCTCTCGCATGCGCAGTTCACAATAGGATTCGCACTCCTATGAGAATCTACTGCCGCTGTTAATCTGACAAGAGGCGGAGCTCAGGCCATAAGTCTCGCCTCCTGCTGTGCGGCCCCGTTCCTAACAGGCGGCTCCAGGGTTGGAGACCCCTGGTTTAGGGAATAGTGTCAAGAAAAAACATCTGTCCCTGTTTGGTACAGATGCAGCCATCCATTGTCTTCCTGAATATTTTTGATCTGTGGTTGGTTGAATCCCCTTCCCATGGAAGCCATGGATAGGGAGGGCCAACTGTATTTCTTTTAAATGAAATAATTATACTGTAATATATAAAAGTTCTCTCCTAATTGATCTACACAACCAATGCAATGCCAGTAAAAATTTCCAATGAGTTTTTTGGGGTAGACTTTAAAAAGTGATCCTTAAATTACAATAGAAGGCTAAAAGGGATTTTCCCCCTTCCTGGTTTCTCTTTCTTCTTTCTGGAAATGAGAACTTAAAGGCTATAGCTGATAGCCATTTTGCAACTAATCATGATGGAAAGACCAAAAAGCTGATCACCTCTGGACCTATTTTTACATGAGAAAAATATATATCATATTTTGTCAACTCTAAGAGGTACATCTCTGCATGTTCAACATCCCTGAAATCTTTAAATGACATTTATGATTGTATTTGACAACATGTTTTTTTCTTTCTTGGTGGCACATATATACTGGAGTGTCTCACAGGCAATGGTGTCCTAAGATCAGTGTAATGCTCAAAATGTCATCCTTTTTAAGTCTTTGTTATTTGGATCCTGGTTGTATGTAGCTGAATACAATATTCCTAGGTGATAGCAGGCTTCCTATTTCACTCCTGGTGGAGTTTCCAGTTCTTTTCCAGGCCTTTAAGGCCCTACTAAATCTGGACTTAGACTCTTAGACCTCACTTTTAATCAACTTAGCATTGCCTCAAACAAACTCGATTTATTGATGTTCCTTGAGTAAGCTAAGCTGCCTTCTGCTTCCAGGCCTATGCCCTTATTGTTTTTTGCTTTTCTTTCTTTCTTTTTTTTTTTGGAAAGCTCTTTTCTTAGACACCATCACCACATGATATGTTAACCCAAATGCCCATCGATGATAGACTGGACAGGGAAAATGTGGTACATATACATCATGGAATATTATGCAGCCATCAAAAATGATGAGTTCATGCCCTTTGTAGGGACATGGATGAACCTGGAAACCATCATTCTCAGCAAACTGACACAAGAGCAGAAAATCAAACACTGCATGTTCTCACTCATAGGCGGGTGTTGAACAATGAGAACACATGGACACAGGGAGGGGAGCACTACACACTGGGGTCTGTTGGGGGTAAATGGGGGAGGGGTGGGTGGGGTGGGGAGGTGGGGAGAGATAGCATGGGGAGAAATGCCAGATATAGGTGAAGGGGAGGAAGGCAGCAAATCACACTGCCATGTGTGTACCTATGCAACAATCTTTCATATTCTTCACATGTACCCCAAAACCTAAAATGCAATAAAAAAAATCATCACCACATGATGTATTAAATATTATACACACACATAATTAATATAAACTCCACAAGAGTAAAATGTTTACTATTCTATTCCCAATGCCTCATTGTTGCTTAATGCATAGTTAAATATTTGTGAAATGAACAGATGAATGTTTTCCATCATGCATGAAATCAACCATATTTTCATGTTTATTGATCATTTTGTATTGCCTTTTTTGCAAGCTGCCTAGTGACATCCTTTGCCTATTTTTCTTGTGGCTTCTTATTAATCATCATCATAAGTAACGCCTGTATGGTACTTGAATTATGCCAAGAACTGTTCTATTAAATTACTTAACCCTCACCACAATTTAAGAAGTAGGTGCTGTTATCAGCCCCATTTTACATGTAAAGAAACTGAGGCACAGAGAGATTGAGAGACACCCAAGAGTTTGGGCTCTTACCTACTAGCCCATTGTGTGTCAGAGTCTAGTGTACATACATATTTTTCCCCATTTATCCCTGGCTGTTGTATTTTACTTTATTTTTACCATATGATGTTTAAGATTAATATGTAAACATGTTTCTGAAACTTTTATTTATGGATCCTGAATTTTAGTGTCTTATTTTTGTAAAAGTTTTTTTTTCTGATTATAAAAGTATACAGAAAGGGAAAAGGGCCTGAGACCAAAAAAAAAAAAAAAAGGTGGGGGGGCTTGATGATTTCAAAAAATGAAAATAAGGCCAGAAGGACGTAAGCTTAGTGACCAAGAGTGAGGAGAGTGGCATAAGTCAAGGATGAGGATAGAGGTGCAGGCAGGGACCAGATTACCTGGAGCTTTGTAAACAATTATATAGAATTTGAATATTGTCTTAATTGCAATGAGAATCATTTGAGAGGTTTTAAGCAAGGAAATGACACGGGATTTATGGTTTACATACAATAATTATAATCAAATAATAATAGTAGTTAACATTTATTAATTGCTTATGATATGCCAGGCAGTGTTTTATAAGTGTTTTATAACACCCTGATGGGGTAGGTACTAATATTATTCTCATTATACAGATAAGGAAACTGAGGCACAAAAACATTAATCACATTCAATTTGCTTACACTTACTTTTTGCTTCTATGCCTCTTCCCATTCAGAATATACCTAATTTCAACAATGAGATGTCTGATGCCTACTTTTTCCAGGCCCCTGATGTCTCACTAGTGGCCTGTAAGTCTTCAGCTGGGTAAAGAAAAGGAAAAGAGCAAAGCCACTTAGCACCAGCTCTAAGCGCTAAACAGGTAGGCTCCTCTCATCCATTTGGACCATGCCCATCTGCTCAGGCATAGCCATGCTGCTGGCCCATTCATGATGACTAAGGGAGTCAGCTCAGCAACCCCTGCTACCATTGCTGCAGGAAATGCCTTGCATCCTGTACTCCTATAGCCATATCAGCAATCAGAGAAATGAGGAATGGGGTCATTAGGATCAACCACAGGCTTCCAGGAGATTCCAGCCCTACAGAAGGAAGAAGAAAGCCTAGTGGTATGGAAGGGGCAGGGAATGGAGGAACCAAAGGCTTCTTTTAAGCACACATCTAGCCCTAGGTAGCCTGCACCCATGTGATTCCAATGGCCCAGGCCCTTCTCTGGCTGAAAGAAAGAAAAGGCTTAAAGAGAGAGCAAAGTCATGGTTGTAAGGGATGACAGCAATGATGTAGATTATACTGCATCATACCCTGACCAGCTATTTCCCCAGTTTTCACCACATAGTGCCCGCAGCTGGTCTGTTTCTTAGCATCCCTCAGTCTTCAGTACCTCTGACTGTCCCCTTTCAGAATGATGCCCCATTTGACTTATACTGTTGATTCTCTACCTATCTGCATTACATGGGCTCTGTATCAGCCTCCTGCATGCTGGCACAATACCTGGCAAACTGCCTATCTATCTTGCCCCTGCCTT